AGAGAGAGAGAGAGAGAGAGAGAGAGAGAGAGAGAGAGAGAGCACTTTAACAAATGGCTTTCGCCATGGATTTTAAGGATATTTGATCGTTCGTAAGGAGAACTGGAGATGAAAGCCAGCTCGGGGCCTGCAAATCCAGTGCGCCTATTTAATGAGATGTAGCCGATGTTGATGTCAAGCTAACTGTCGTCTTTTGTTACCCAACTCAACGCTAACTACGTGAAGCTGGGCTGTCGTATGAAGAGCAAGGTGCTGACTTTTTGAGCGGAAAGGACGCCCTACTCTCCTCCGTGAGATTGGACTAGGAGCTATGCGGTCTGCTCAGAATTGCAAACCAGGCGGTGCGGTCAGATGCGCTCTCAAGTAAGTGGGCTTGCTTCAATGGAAAAAAGATTGAAGGCCTCCAACTTATTGTGTGTTTGAATGATATATAGTCCAGAGTACAACGAGCGTTAAAGAAGGATCTACAAGACTCACCAAGCAAAACACCTTGGTTGTGAGTCAGCCATCACTGGAGAAAGCTCGGCGCAAGCGACGTTCGACAGCCTACGTTACCGAGCCGTATCAGCACGCGACAGTCAACCAAAACAAGACGGAACCAACGTGCGCATCGGTTGGTGGTGCTTGCGTTACCTTTTTCAATCAACAAAACGAGACGACCTCATGCACTGCCAATGAAGGTATATTATGCTATAAACATGCTGACATGGAAAGAACTTATACCGATTCCTGACTTGATGCGGTTTTACTATCAAGCTAATGCTGACCGAGTGACCCCAGCACAGGCTTACGTTGACGCGGGAGGCCAAAATTCTACGGATTAGGCTGACACGGCGGGGCACTGTTCGGATGTAGTAAGCTCCAGTGCTGACGTGAAGATCCTAGCACCCCTGCATAATGCTGACGAACCCTCTAACCGGACAGTAGTGGATGCTAAACGTGATGTTTGTCAACTCTGTAAGCAATGAAAGTGGCTTCGAAGTGATGCAGATAAAGGATCGAGTGATAGCGACGTTCCAGTACACAAAATGAAGAGTGCTCGCAAGCAAAACCCCGGTGTGCCATCTCAGGATATTGAGCAACAATTGAAGCGCCTAGCCTTTGATGAGGCGGAAGTTTTTGACCCAAAGCTTCTTGAAAATGATTCGTATTTTTCGGATAAAGAACAGTCAGTGAGTGGACCTCATTCGACACCCGTCCCAGGCTGACGCTACTTTAGGTACGGATTACCTCCTTGCTTTGTCAGGATCTGTTGCCACAAAAGTCGCGCGATTAGAAGCCATGCTGGATAAAGACGAAACCAATGCGCTGCGCATTCGTGAAACAGGTTTGATTCAATTTTGACACCAATTTCAAAGTTTATGCTGACGTATTGCTGGTTTTATTAGGTATATACAGCTCTGACGAATTGACGAATTTGCCTAACCACGGATGGAGCCTTGTTGAGGCAATGGAGCTAGATTCTTCATTCGACAGCAATAGTCGTTATAGAATATTTTTATGCATACATGCTGACTTCATCTGCCGTACTTGTAAGCGATACGAACTTGTATTGGAAGCAGGCACTTGAGAGAAAGATCGAGCAAACACGGAATGAACAGAAGATACCCGAGACCACACTAACGAGAGAACTCGTTTAAGAAACAAACTCAACAAATTTAAGAAGATTTTACATCATGAACTTTTGGAGTGGTTGGTTTGCTTCCCCACATATGGTCCACCACAAACGAAAGCGCATGGTCATGCAGTTGACTACTGTTGAAAGTGGTGTCATTCCTAGTAGAACGTTTGGCTCAGTGATGCCTCGTCGTTGATTAAAAAGTAAATATCCCTCTCGTGCGCACTTTCCGACAACGGCAATGCTACAACTGGGTATGATCGAGCCTGAAAGCTACGGCCAGTGCTTACAACGCTTCACCATACGTCCAAGACAAGTTTTGTACTCGGGGCACGAGTTGCGATAAGGTAAGGCGAGATGACATCATGTAGCCATTGAAATTTTTTGTTCGTGATGACTTGTTTAGCTTTAACAGGGTACTGTGCGAGGTAATGCTGATGTGAATGGTTAAAAATGATCATGATAAACTGATTAATAATGTTGACAAGTTAATACATTATTGTTCGACATTGTAGAATCGAATTGAATGCAGCGCAAATGCAGGGTGAATCGGCCGTCGCCGAAACAGGACCTGTGGCTATGGTTCGCATTGTTACTGCTGTTTTTTTTAAGGTGTACAATTCAAACGACGCCGAATCATAAATACGCAGCAACGTTCGACATCATTACCGCTTGTGGAGTAACTGCAGGCTATGGGCTACAATATCTGTGATGTGATTCATCCGAATAGCCAGTGTGTCAAGTTGCTATTTGCATTGCAAGCTGAGGAGTGTAACAAAGGGTCTTGCAAGGTTGCAATAGCTCGAGCTAGTCCAGGTATTGTTTCCGTGGGATAGATGGATTCCAAGCCATCATACTTGCATAGTTGGGTGCTTGATGCCGTGGGGAATGCAGAGAGGGGAAGGACGAAGCAATGGAGGTGACGTGACCTGCGCTGGTCAGTGAACTTATTGAGGCAATGAAGTTCTCTTCAAATGCGGCACGACTCTAAATATTTACTGTGGCAGCGTACGTTATGCCGACAGGATCAGTGCATCAATGCAACGACGTGCTATTCGGGATAATTACATTTACGAAGTAGTACAAAACTCTATTCTTAGGGTTTGTTTGACAAGGTCTGTTCTGAACGAATATATCGTTCACAAGTGCCTTTGTGAGAAAAGGAGTGGAAGTGTTTAAACTACGCAGTCATGAACAAGTTCCACGCCCAGATGATTGGACTTACCACAGAGATTTTACCAATTCAAGCGAGGGGCATCGTGAGGTAGAGCCTCAAGCAAACGTTATCGGTGTAGAAGAAAGCCACATGTTAGCTCAAACAACGGATACACGGGTAAATAATGGCGTTTTACGTTTGCAGAGTGCACCTACTATAAGCCAAAGGCGAAGAAGTGTGGTGGAACAGTCGACATACTAGTGTTCCAAGTGTTCCAAAGGAAAGAGAGGTCTAGTGACTCTGCCCAATAGAACGAGATGAACTCCCCGGCACCTGCACACAGATATGGCATTTTGTATGGCAGAACTGTGGATTCCCGCCGCAGCATAGCCATATACGTGATCGAGCTGTACGTAACGTCTCATCTACTAAAAATTCAATACATCGTAGTTCCATTTCATGCGTCGTTTTCATTGTGTAACAATGGTAGAAATGAGCATTCCTCGACGCCACTGCGCCTATAAAACCACGACTCATAAAGTTGCTTGTAAGAGTACGTGCAGGAGATGCAGATGCAAAGAGCATGCATATATTCGGATAAGGCCAGGGATAGTTAAATCAGGCAAGAACTTCTACAACATTATACACCGAGTGTCACGAGTTCTTCAAGACGCAAATCGCGGACAACATCAACAGCGGAGTTTGGGTCTTGAAGATAAAGGTTTCAAACGGTGAAAGCGGCATCTGGGCTCCGCTATAAGCTTTGGAACTTGAAGATGAACTCGAGCTTGAAGTTGCTGCTCAAGTCCTGTTCTGTATATTGCATGAAGAGTAGTGTAAGTAGGCAGTGGAAACTAGCTAGCGAACACAACAAACTCAATCAGATCTCAATTTACCCTCAAGTGCTAACAGTCAACTTCGACGGCATCTTGCCTGAGTGCTGAAGTACTACGAATTCCTCTGCTTAGTGCTACCATACACAATAAGTGGCGACTTATTGCGAGACCGAGGCACCAAACATCCAAACAAAAACCTTTATGATCCACTTTGCACTTTATGTATGCCACAGGCTGAAAGTACACAGAGCAATATTAACCCCAAAACAAGATCCATGCTTAGAATACCAACACGACCCCGCAACTTGTAACTCGTTTACTGTGTATACCACCTTATGAGCAGGGACATTTAATTCCCGTTCATTATACCCTGTTTGATCAGGCCTAGATACTCTCATTATATATCCAAACCTTGTTTGGTGCATCTAATAGGTCTCAGTGAACAAACATCATCCAATATTGGATAGCGCTGAGAACTTCGAAGAATGAAGTAAGTAAGGGCATTTCGCAGGGGGTCGCGTGTGTAATGACAAGCGCGCCATATAAGCACGGGTGACGAAGAAAACGAGGTGGAGACGGAGACGATAGTGTGAAGGTTCAAGGACAGCAAGAACTGAAGGTATCAATTGTTACGGTCTACAGCTAGATGGTGGATTCCCCTTCCTTGTGGACTGCATCCAGAAGGTCTGCTCACTACAGGGTCAACGGGCTACATCCTACAAGCTAGGGCAAGAGGAGCAAACGTCGGCGTTCCACGTCTAGAGTAGGACTGGTATGAAGGGAATGAGGAGGTACCTCGCTGTGGACCGCTGCGTGGGAACGATTTGTGGACAGGTAAGGAGCTTCTAGGTCCTGGGGAGACCGTTAGGACAGTGTTGTCATTTCTACATTTACATTTTTACTTTCAAACGTAAGAAGCGTTTTATGCGCGCAATTAAAACATTTTTACGGAGGGATCTTACGTT